TCACTAAAGTAACTGTGGCTCTTAAAATAATTTTAATTTTTAAAAATGCTTTGGAGGATATGTTCTTAGGAGTTTAAACTTTAAATATATGAAAAAATTCGAATTTGTCAAAATACTGGAATGCCCTTACCTTAATGTGAAGTAGTAAAATACATGTATTAAAGGAATGACTGAATACACTTACAAATATAGATACAGATGTTTGTTGTTTTGTGTCAAAAACAATGTCTACCTATCTACTTAGTATTTATTTCAATTATCTCTTTTGACGTGATGACTATATGACATGCGAAAATCTAAAACAAAGTAAAATATCTCTCAGTACAGATAACAGAATTAACAGCAAAAACTATAACAGCGACAACGTGAAGGTTCACTGGGTGATATAGATTTATAGTAAGAATAAAAGAGTTGCTTACAAAAATCTGCTCCTCTTAGTGAAAAATACAAGTGCTCAAAGCTATGTTATATTATGAATTCGCTGTTAGCCTTTGCTCTTATATGTGCTCGTATAAATGATCGCACTTTCTTCATATACTGTCATATGTACAAGGATAATAAAAAACTCGAAGTATTACAGTTCAAGTGTTTCGATATGGCAACTCTCAGCGTGCTTAATGTTTAAAGGTCAAAAATGGCTGTGCACTTATAACACCCGAAGTACAAGCTTTACAGAAAACAAAGAGCATTGCAAAAAAGCTTTGCGRACTTTTATGGTAAATGGGTTGCATGCGTCAGTCGCATTGCCACTTGTTTCTTAGAACTTCTATGCGTGAGAGTTCATTGGCATTCAGTTCAAGTGGCAGTGCAAGCACTGGTTTTGCTTTAATGAATGTACACATGTTGCCAAGTCCAAAACTTTTCGTTCCTATTTAACTGTTCCTTCTTTCCGTCAACGTCGTTGGAAAGCAATACAATGCAAAGTATGCTTGCTGCAACGGCATGCATACACTTGAACTTAAACATTGTTTTTACAGGGGTTGCCTTATATATTTCGGGAAGCACAAATTTTAATTATTAAAAATCGTTTTGTTGTCTTTCAAAATATTCACCATTAAGATCTATACATTTTGCCATCAGTTTGAAGCAATTGTCGAAGCACTTTTGCTACTCTGATTTTGGTATCTCCAAAACATGCCTTTTGAAGGCGTCAATCACCTCTTCTTTGAAGAAACGTTGACTTTTTAGTTTATGTTTAATGAATAGAAATAAGAAAAAGCCGTTGGGGGCCAAGTCAGGACTGAACTGAGGATGACTTATAAAGTCGATGTTTTGAGTGGTCGGAAAGGCGGTTTTTTCAGTCGATGTGTGAGAACTGGCATTTTCGTGATGAAGACTGATCGGTTCCCGCGATTGGTTTTCCTGATTTCTTGAAAGACAATTGGCCGAAAACTATTTGTGTACCACTCGGAATTTACTGCTCTACGTATTACGTATTACGAGTGGTATGGTTTCAATATGCCCAGTTTTTATATATATATAAAAAAAAAAGAAAAAAAAAAGAAAAAAAAGACAACCATTTGAGGGGAAGTGCTTCGTGCAGAAATAAACTTTTGTTTGATTTTAATCACCTGAAGCCCCCATACAAAAGTTTTGGTTCACTTTCGAGCTCATACGCATAAACCGCTAATTTGTCAGCTATCATGATGTTACAGACGTGTTTCGAAGTACCGCTATCTTATTTTTTTAAGACTTCTCTAGATCAATCGATAAGAGCCTTTCTTTTGAGCGATGGAAAAATTGTATGGGAGCCAATATGAACAAATTTTGTTTTAGAATAATATGTTCAAACAATATTGAATGTGTATTGACTCGTCTAATGTTTTTTTAATCTTATGCTAAACCACACGACGATCTTGCAATATTAGTTTAAAAGTCTCGAAGTTTGACTGCCAAATATTGAGTTAAGTTCATGGATGTACCATTGCCGCGTTATTTCAGGTAGATAGTTGATTAAAGGTAATTTTTCAAACTCTTGCAACCAGTCAGAAATCAGCATATAACCACTTCTACTTCCGATATAGCACAATTTTAAATTCCATTTGATTCATTCAGTTTCCAGTTCACAAATCAATAATCAATTAATATGAACTTTATAAGAATAATGCCWTTAGTGTATGYCACCTTATAACCAAAAACTCTTTCAATTCAACAAAAACTGTTCAACCCCCTAGCTACAGATTATGTGGACTCCAGTATATATAGTTGACTTTTATTAAAAAATATTGGTCAGTGTTTGAGATCTATAATTGAAATTCAGGGATAGTGCTTTTCCAACAATGGTACGTCTGTGTGTCAAAAATGGGTTCAATCGGACCAATACTTCCCTTAGTCACCATATATCTAATATAAAGATAATCGAATTTCCGGGTGACTTTGCATCGCATATATCGAACAATATGTAAGTTATCTCAATGAAAATGAGGTGGCGTGTTTTACTCAAAACAGTGTATATTTGTGTCTAAAAGAGATTAACATGAGCGGATACTTGACCTAGCCCCCATATAACTAATATTCGAATTTTTGAACATCCAGCTCACTTTATAGTACTCTTTATGATAKTTTTTAAGTAAGTTACATGTTAATATATTATACATATACGGCATTGGGAAAAATGGATAAAATCTAGTTGATACTACCCCAACTTCCATATACTAGTACTACATATAATGGTTTTTGTTTTTCGAACAAGCCTTATATGTCTGCCAGTATAGGAGTTATATATAGAATGTATAAAAATGTTTTTATCTCGATTCTCAGGCTTACGTTTTACACCATAAGACATTTCTCTACCTTTGTTTACTTACTTACGAGTTTCTCATCATTACTAATATATGTATTTATGTATTCGTATTTTTGTTGTCTTTTTTCTGCGCCCTTTTTGACGCCTGTCAGGCATGCAACATTGAAAGCCGGTAACGTGGGGTTAATGTTTTATGGATTATTAAACTCAGCAAGACTTCCGCAACGCGCCGGTGCTCAGTCTGTCGAACCAGGCTGCGCTCTTGGGAACTTTTGCCGACCAACACTCACTGATTCCTGCTTCCGCTTCGATGGAAGCCGTCCTTCGAACCGCAGCAAGGTGACTGACTTACTGACTGACAGCAAACGACAAAAATTAATTATTTAAAAGCAAGCAAAAACAACAACTACTACAGTTCAAACAACATTCAAAAACAACAAAAGCAACTAATAAAGCGCTATAAATGTAAGGGTAATGATGCAATAACTTCATAAATAACAACAAGAAAGATCGGCTGAGTTGTTATGCAGGTGCATGTGTGCTTGTAGTTCGGTGAAGTCCGAAATATTTGTGATTGATAGAGCAGATTTTAATTTTTTAAATTTTTAATTGATTGCTCTATCCTTTTATACTCATTTGCTTATCGTACACTTTGTTCTCTTTTTAGGTGACAATTTTCATTCAGAATGCATCGGTGGCGAAATATCTTTCGATGACACATGGAACACCGGCTCCGATTTGTAAAATGAACTTGAAGTGAGTGAAAACGGTTATAATGTTATAAATATGAAATGGTACAAATATGTAGATAATGTCTGATTATATGTAGCATAGTGGCATGTCAGAAAAAAAAGTGGTTCAGTGGACAAACCACTTAAGGATGAGCCTGCTTTAGAAGCTTCAAGAAATCGATTTTTTTTTCACTAAATCTCTTTAAAGATTATCTAAGAATATGTCGCCAAAGGTATAGAATGGAATTCGGAATATTGTCGAAGCTAGAAGGAAAATAGTTACCAAGCGTCTAGCAGATATATTATTGCTTGGGCAGAAAAAAAAAAACTAAACGGCGTACGGAATTGGGGGGAATTTTATTATCTTCTATTTAAACTTAAAAAAAAACTAAGAAAAGTGAAGATTGAACATTATTTTAAACAACATATACTACAATTTTTTTGTTCAAAAACCACTTTTTTTCAGTTAAAATTTTTTTTTAGTTTTACACTTTTTTTTTGGAATTGGGTCTTAGTTTAGCTAGAAGATATATTATAAAAAAATATGAATCTCTTTGAATTTTTTTCTGCCCGCCGTCCGAAAAATGCACATGCGAGATGCATGGGACAATTGCTTTCGAAAGGCAGAGTGTCAAAGATTTGTATCCAAAAAATTTATGAGTGATGTTAGAATATATAGCTATAAACCCGAGAAATTGCAGTTTAATCAATAATTTCTTTCCCTCCCAAAAAAAGCCTAAAAAAAATCGATATTTTGAAGCCTCTAAACAGGCTAACCTATATGTATATCGTCACCTGAAATGCAAAATAACGTAACAACAATTTCGAAAATTTACAGTGGCATGATTGAAAAATTAAATTATATGGAAAATGAGTGAAAAAAAGATTTAATATTGGTCAAAATTGCTTTATACCTGAGGGCAGAACTTGAAAATATTGGGCATATGTAATATTATGTATGTAATTTGAAGTAGTGAATGGTAGTCAATTGCAACACTCAATTTCGAATTTTTTGATGATACGGTATTTTGCATTTCAGGTGACGATATTTATTTATACTAGTACATTGACACGGATATTTTGTGCCCAAATTTTAATCCCTTAATATTTTCAATATTTGTATTACCTTTTTTTTTGTATAAACCACTGTGAGAACACTCATGAGGTTGCTGTATATGCTATTGAATCGGTTTGCTTAGATTACGTTRAAAGACGATCCAAAAACGATTTCAACTTGGGCAGATGGGAACACCATTATATTGTGAAACTAAAATATTTAACATTCTGATTGAAAATATTCACAAAAATCATTGAACTCAGTTCCGACTTTCATCGGAGATATGACTACCGTGATGTTTCAATCTCAGGCTTGTAAAAACTTAACGAAAGAGAAGAAGGTGGCTGAATGGTAGAAAACCTTTCCTTCCTCTACACAACAACAAACAAAATTCGCATGCGCCTTCGAAAAAAGTATTTACAGTATATTTTTCTATTTTTTTGAAAAAATTTTGATGAGGAGTTGTCATTTAATATCATCCAAAAATGTCACAACGCATCAGTGAATGTCATTATTAAACTTTTATTTATTGTTTAAACTTTCAGAGGCCGTTCAGCGCATTTATATTTGAGCAACAGTACAACAGCCGAGGGTGTTGAGGATCCCGAACAYTATGATGATCACGYGATCGTACAACTTTCGGCGCGCATACAAGACGGCRCACRCTGTCGAACGGACAGCCTCGATATGTGCATAYAGGGTAAATGCCAGGTGAGTGAAAATTTGATTTATGAAATAATATAATGTTTCAGGTGAAAACTTAGATCACCCTAACTTATKCAGGTGGGTGAGAATTAATATGACTTCCAAGATTCATATGTGTCCTTTCAGGTAATGCAAAAAATATATTAAATTAGCGATTAGCGAAAAATTATACAAATTTAAATGAAAAACATTTCAATATCAAGTAAAATATAGTAAATTTTTTGTAATTTGAGGAAACCAAATAGATTCTCTCTTATTCCTAAGCTATCTCAAATTTTTGACAGCAACAACGGTAACGGTAACAGGAACGAAAATGACGTGATRGCGTGTTATTTACAATTTCGTGCTGTATTATTTATGTTATATAATATCAATATGTTTTTTTTTTTTTTGGATTCCGCACACTTTGTTTACTTCTACGTTATTTATTATTTTTTTTCGGCTATGCTGTTCTTCCATTGTCAATAAAAAAGCTACACAATTTTCGAAAAGTAATGGCTTCCCGCAATTTTACTACAACAAGTAAACAATTTTATTGACACTGAAATCCAATTATGTGGTAACTCGATATGAGACTTTTGTTGACTACAGTTACGAGCGTTGAAATGATTTTATTGTTAGTGATTACGAAATTTTTATTTTCAGTTTTTTTCAGTCTATTTCTATTGCTGTTGTTGCTTTTGTTTGTCAGTTTATTCTATATGTACTTCTTTTTTTTTATACATTTTTATATCTGATTCCTGTACGCTCGTATAAGCCTCGTAAATTTACTCACACTTCACTGAACTTGTAAGAGTGACTGTTCCAGATGTATCAGCAGACATAAAGGAGGCTAGCAAGGCTCATAAAATACATACTTTTCTAATATTTTGTATTGTTGAGAASAATTGTTTTTGTTGAAAAGGAATAGCAGTTAGTATGAGTTCGTAGGCAAACAAATAAATCATGGAAATCCCCAAATACAGATATACTACTAATACTCTTGGAATCAAGCTTTTTCTGGCAGTCAACATTGTGTTACATGCGATACAATATATATTATTACAAAGACACCTCTATACATACTTGTTTTCAGTCCAACAAATGTAATATGTAATGTGCTTTTTTGTGTGTCTTTTATACGACCTTTCATAGTATTTCGCGTCTACTGCCACATATTTATTCGCACAGCGTGTTGCAAACGAAACGCCAATGTAAATATCATGATTGTTATAAGAGGGAAACTWTTGAATTTCCAAACAGTAAAGAGCGCTTAAAAGTAATGTTTAATTGGTGATGTTTTCAGTTATAAAAATGTGGCATCTTTCAACTTTGTTTAGTTGAAAAGTGTTTCTGAGGTTACTTTAAATATTTATTTATTCTCATATGTATGAAATATTATACTAAGTATGTTATATTTTG